CAGTTACTTATATCATTGTATAAAACATTATGTTCTAAAAAATTATTATGTTATTTCTGTTACAGCATTTTTGATAAACAAATTGATATTTTTTGAAACAACAATTGAATTATGAAACATTTTTCTATTTGTCAGATAGTGTGAAGATGTCAAAATTGAAGTCAGTTGTCAACCCACTTGAGCCTGCTAGTTGGTAAAGGGAAGGAGCTTCCTGTATCAGAACTTCCAACAGTGAGAGACATGCTAAGATTAGGGTTACTCCTTCGAGAAAAAAATGCAAAGGACAGAAGGAACTATACAGATAAAGAACTCATAAATGACATGATAGTCCCTCTTCTGCATCAATGGACAAAAGCTAATGCACTATTCAAACCACCTGTGATTAATCAGTGTCGAACTATTGAGCTAAAACTAACGAAATTATGGCACAAAGCAGTTGAAACATCACTTGGTAAAGGAAACTTGGCCAGGAAAAATGAATTTCTGCACACACTTGATACTCTGTTTGACATTTTGACCTGCAAGTGCTCCATACAATTATGTTCTGAATCCAACTGTTCTCACTCAGGTAAGAGAGAAAATAATTCCCACATTGATTGTGGTTGTCCTCGTGAAAAGAAGATCCCTGTTTTAGAGCTTGAATTTATAAAGGCACAAAGGCAGAAGGCCAAGGAAGTATGCAAATGGGTTCAATAGATTATTCAGAAACAAAGAAGCAGATTGCTAATGCCAAGAAGAGAGAACAAATCCGAGAGAGGGAACAAAATGAAGAGTGAAGAAGCCATCCAAAGAGAGGAAGAGCTGTGTCAAGATGTTTATCACTTCTTTGATAGTTCTTCTGATGAACAGGAAGCAACATCAGATGATAGTTCCAAAGAGCCATCTGAACCTTTACCAAAGAAAATGAAATACAACACAAGAAATATTTCAAACATTGCTTTAGCTAGTATTCGCCACCATGCTGAACTTCGTGAGGCTGCAGAAATTGCAACTGCCGCCGCATGGATAGATGCAGGCCTCATCAGCCGAGAGGATGTATCTTTGGTGATAGATCATAATAAAATTAGAAGAGCACAAGAAAAAATAATGAAGGAAATATCTGGTGAGCATGAAAAAGATTTAAGCGAGGGAGGGCTCTCCTGTCTTTTGCTTGATGGAAGAATAGATGACACAAAAGTTTTGCTAGAAGTAGAGGGAGTGAACAGAAAGTTTCCAGGTCTCATCAAAGAAGAACACTACTCTGTCTGTTCTGAGCCTGGTGGTCGGTTTTTGTTTCACTTTGCTCCCGAAACTGAAGTAGAAGGGAAGAAACATGCAGAGGTCATTGCTGATCATATTTTATGTTGGGTTCAGGAGAGAGGACTTGGCAGTTCACTGCAGGCTGTTGGTGGAGATTCAACTGCAGTGAACACCGGATGGCAGGGGGGTGTAATGACGCATTTAGAGAAAAAAACTAGGAAGAAGACTTGTTTGGATTGTATGTGATTTACATACAGGCGAGCTACCTCTTCGTCATCTCATCCAGGAACTTGATGGTCCTACAAAGAGCAACAACAAGTGGTCAGGTCCCCTTGGCATCATGCTGGATGAAGCGACACAACTAGAAATAAATACAACCTTTCCAAAGGTCGAAGTTGGCCCTCCCCTTCCGGCGTTGTCTGAAGGAGTCATCAAAGATCTCGGCACAGATCAATCCTATGCTTATCGTATTGCCCAAGCAATAAGATCATTGGCTCTCTTGGAGATTGGACCTGTCAGTCACAGCTGTTGGTTAACTACAGCTCTTCGTTTCTGCAGGATTTGGATTTCCAAACACGAATTGAAGGGCAAAGTGCTGAAGAATTTGAGGTTAATTGTTGAATTTATTATTGGAGTTTAGTGTGAAACTTAATCCTATGTGGGTGGATCACCTTTTGTTTCAATTGCAGCTAGTAAGAACAGAGGAAGGTAGTGAGGGACATCGTGTTACCTGTGGCAAGAAGGTCCGCTTGGTATGCTCGATCAGAAGCAGTTTTGCAAGCAATGCTTTGCAGTCAATGTACCAATCTCCGAACCGAGGCTGTAGAAGTCATTCTAAAGATTAGAGGAACGCTAATAGATGACGACCAGTTGGGAGACTGTTCGTTTCATTCAAGAAAAGTTCCCCAATAAACGTCAATGCCACCAAATTGTCAGAATTGGTTGACTTGAGTTTGGAAGTCTTAGAGCCACCATTGACAACTAGCCAAGAATTGAGAAACCTTAAAGAGACTCCAATGCAGGTGCCGAAGTGTGGAGAGATGTGTGAAAATGGTCACAGAAGCAGCGGGCCATGTTTACAGCCACTAGAGGCGAGAAGGTTACATCAAAGCACAAATAGCAAGCAGACTACTGATGACAAGAAACCAAAGCAAAGAGAGTATGAAGGCATTGGTTACTTTCAAATAGACTACGGATAATAAAATAGAATAATTTGAAACAGTAACATGTGTGCAAACGCTGGTTATGTTATAAATTCACAAATATGTACATTTAAAAATCCATTTGATGTAGGTAGGACTTATTATAAAAAAAAAATTATGCCAGAATATTGTTTTGCATGCTTAAAGACTACAATAAATTGCTACCAAATTACTCGATTTTCAATTTAGCCAGTTCACCCCCTAAATTGACACACCCTACTTGAGTGTCCAGACCCATATATTATGACGGCACCAATGACAACTGATGAAACACAGCTGACCTGTGGGAGGTGAGTAACTGTTATTTCACATGTTCTCGTTAGGTGTATAAGCCTATTCTAATACAGTACAGTACTTGCTGTTAACGCTCATAGGAGCGTTATTGGTTTGACGCTGGAGAAATAAACCCTCGACGTTGACAGGTACCACATAATTCGGTCAAAGAACAATTCTCATATAACAAATGCTGTTATCTCGGGATACATAGTATGAATAATACAACCTATGTACAGTACATAGCCTGTTAACATCTTAAATATAACTCGCGTTTTATAACTGTTGATACATCAGATCAAATTACAGTACATAAATATACTTATTAAAGTTATTTAGAGTTTCTTGGCAGATTCTAATACTTCACGATCGCTCACGTCTTAGGGTCTAGTGGTCCGAACCGACGTGTCGTCTGTCCCGTAGAAATCGGTGGACTACCCTCGAGGGCCATCCGTTTCGTATTGAAGCACCTCGGCTAATTCGTCGTCAACACTATATCCGTTCTCTTCTAGTTTATCTTACTGTGGCGGTAACACTTGTGTTTTTTTACACGTGTATTCCTTTGAGACTGTTTTTATCTAATGGCCACCCAATAGAGGTGGCTATGCCAAGGGATGGAGACCAGTGGGTTATGTAAGATCCCTGCATTGTTCTTGATAATTTTGTCAAGGTTTCTTTTGTAGTCCAGTACTGTTCTTGATTCCATAGGTCTACCAGTCTGTGTAAAGTAGTATTTCCTTATATTTGTTCAACATGAGAACTTGGCCAGCTTGTAGTGGATGTGAGACTTTATCAAGTGCCCTAGAGAAATGCACATACATCCATGGTCCAAAAGTTTGTTGAACCCCAAATAAAATGAAACCGCACACCCGCATCAAACGAGAGACAGTCGAGTCAGAAACTCGTTCCTTTTGACTGACCGTACAACACATCCACTGGTAGACCTTGGTCCATGTGGTCTGTTAAAAATTCAATGAAAATGACTTAAGTTTGTCAGCAGAATATTCTATCCATGAAATCATGTTGTGATGCATTGATTAAATTGTACTCAGTTGGATGATGAGGGTGTCTACTGGTCTGGAAATGGCAAACAATTTTAACGGAGGCTGGAAAAAGTGGGAAATTTTATGTGAATTGAGTGCAACTTCAAAATATTGTTATTTTGACAGTAATCAATGCTGTACTGTACTGTATAATAGGTAAATAATTTAATTTTTAGATGCAAATTCCAGTAAATAGACAACTCCAGTAAGTGAATTGTTTGTATATCATATTTTATGTTAGTGATCAAATAACAAAATATTACACGTCACAGCTACTGATTCTGCAATGAGTATTGTCATAGATGAATTGTTGTTTGTTATTTAAGTGGATGAGAAGTGTGATTTTTCAGTTGTCACTGCTAATGACATGGTTACCCTTCTGTGCCACCACAGTTGGAACCCCCGATTACATCAACTTTCCCCCGTGCTATCTGGATTTTGGTCGGGGATACTTGTGTCCGGTGCTGGACCCCAGGCCGGTTTTCAAGAGGATCTAGATTAAGCGAGTCCGGGCTAGAGGGAGTTTACTGTACTATAATGAAAGCATCTTTATTCCTTCAGTATGAAATCAACCCTGAAGATGTCAAATATTTTCTGATTTAATAAGTGATATTTTCTCAACCATGTCGTACAACCTTCATCATGACTATGTGGTTATCATCGTACTCCGGGACAATACGATATTAACTTCTCTGTACCAGTATTTTGGGACAACACTTAAGTTCTTTAGGGAAATTGGGACTCAAACAGACTGTCAGGTTCAGGAGAGGTCAAAAGAATGGCTCTTAAGATAAAAGTGAATACTAAATGTAGGAGGATGCACCTAGGTCACGTGTCCCAACCGGACGAAGAAACGTCATTAACGGAGACCAAAATACCGTACGAGAAGGACCCGGGAGTGTATGCGACACGTAGATGGTCTGTCCCTCGTAACGCTTTTCGAGTATTAGGTGCTTCCCGTCCGAAGTACCGTGACCCCGTTTGGTCCCTCCCCTCCACCTGTACTTCCCCACCTCCACTCCCCCCACCTCCACCTCCACTCTCCCCCACCTCCACTCTCCCCCACCTCCACTCCCCCCACCTCCACTCCCCCCCACCTCCACTCCCCCACCTCCACTCCCCTACCTCCACTACCCCACCTCCACTCCCCCACCTCCACTTCCCTACTTGCACTCCTCCCACCTCCACTCGCCCTCCTCCACTCCCCCACCTCCACTCTCCCCACCTCCACTCCCGTACTTGCACTCCTCCCACCTCCACTCCCTCACCTGCACTCCCCTACTTGCACTCTCCCACCTCCTCTCCCCCACCTCCACCGACGGAGGGCTGCAGTTCACAAGCCGGGACTTTGCTGCGTTCATCGAGCGACGGGGAGTCCGGCAGGTGTTGTCACCGTCCCATTACCCGCAGTCCAACGGCCACGCCGAGGCTGTTGTCAAATCCCTGAAGCACCTCATCCTCAAAGTGGCCACTTCTGGGAATATCCTCAACTGCGAGGCCTTCGACCGGGGTCTCTTCGAACTCCGCAACAACCCAGCTACACCGGATGCTCCCCTGCCCAGGTCTTGTATCCCTGCTCACGCTCAGTCCTTCTCCAAGGAGTGGCAGGTTAAGACAGAGGATTGCGGCCGCCGAACGAGTTCGTGACGTCGTCGCCCGCTAATACTACCACGCCCGTTCTCTCCCCAAGTTGAGTGTCGGCACCCAAGTCCGTGTTCAGGACCTTATCTCCCTACGTTAGGACAAAGTGGGCGTAGTCATGGGTCTCGGTAGATCACGGGACTACCAGGTGCTGTTACCCAGTGGTCGCGTGTGGTGGAGGTAACCGCCGTTTTCTCCGCCCCGTAACAACGCCTTCTGCTGACCCCGTCACCAGTGTTGAGTCCTGTGTCCTCCCCAGTGATCAAGTCCCTCGACGCTCAGAACGGATCCAAAAGAAAAGGTCCGCTCAAGACTTTGCTATGAGCGTATAGAGGGGGGGGGTTATATGTGTATGTTGTATGTATATTATGTATTCCATTTATATATATACTACTTATTTAGCCTAGCCAGCAGCATGTGGCAATGCATTTGTTATGTCCCACACGCTTAGATAATGTGCCTGGCGACATATGGAAGCTGCTACATGTCGCCTGAGGGCTCGGTTGTTGATAGAGTAGGGAGTGCCGTCTTGTTGTATTGTAGTGGGCTACCTCCGCTATATAAGACCTAATCTCGTGGTGACCTACCTCTTTCTACCTACACCACCTCCTCCGCTCCTGCCTGGCGGCCCTCGCTTCCGTCGGCGAGCATGGCGAGCCACAAGCTGGTCCTCCTCTGAGCACCCTCACCAACCAGATCTCTGTACATCACGCTTGTAACCAACCTGCCACTTCCCAGCACCAAGCTGCTCTGTACATCCAATACAATATGTATACAGAGAGCACATTGTGAGTTTCCTTTCTCCAACCAATATCTCATAACCCCACAAATGGTGACCCCGGAGATTCGCACTCACACAGGATGGAGGAGAAACCGATCACTCTCCCAGTCTTCAAGCAACATGGAAGACTGGCTTATCCACACAGAGGCAGCTCTCATCGGCTCTACAGGTACTGTCTCTACACCTCAGGTTAGACACCGTAGAGCAGCTCTGCTACTCTAAGCAGACACCAGCTCCTCTTCCTGCCCCAAGCACCACGTCCTATCGACCCCAGCAGGCGCATCTGAGGACTCTGTACCTGCCGAGAGGGAAGCACAGCATTCGTCGCCGTTGTTTTTTTCCCTCCGGCACTCCCACCTGCTGTTGTAGACCCTGCTCCTATTATAGACCCTCCTCCTGACGTCGCCCCTGACCCAGTGATCATGAGGACGCTGCCCCTGCAGCGACAGAAGCACAACATTCATCGCCCCCACACACCCTTTTTCTCCCACAGATCTCGTGTGTCTAGACTCGAGACAGTTGTCTCCCCTAGCGGCCGGGTCTTTCACGCCCTCGCCGTTATGTCTCGCATGCACCGCCGTTTTGCCTCGCATGTGCCATGCAACCCTGCAGACAACAAGTCTCCTGGAGGGAAGGGGGGAGGATCGTAGTGGATTCCTCCCCTACAAACGCTGTTTGTCGCAGAGTAGCCGACCCCGCGAATTCCCCAGCGTATGCGTCGTGGTCTAGGTCAACCAGCGCCGCCTTAGACGACGGAGGTCAACTATTAAGCCACGCTTATCTCCGCTATATAAGACCTGACCTCGTGGTGACCTACCTACACCAACCAGCAAAATAGAATTCTACGAGTGTTTCTGTTCGCCCCTGTAGTTAGAACCGAATACCTAGAACATGTACAAATATATTATGCTTATTTTTAAAAAAATTTCTTATTCCAGGTGTTTCGCATATTATCCGAGTCAACAGAAGGAGTTCGTCTTTACGATCAGCTCCTTCCGACCATCTCCGAGATGTCATCCGGAGAGTTGAAGTTTGCTCTTGCCATCCGGTCTCTTCTCCAGAGTATCGTCAGAGGTACAATGATTTATATTAAGAATATCTTCAATATAATTAGCCCTAGCATTTCAAGTGGATGAATGTTTAATTAGTAAGAATCATGATACCACTTAAAAAGTTGTCAATTTGCTTTAAAAGGGTATTTGTGGGGGATAAATGTAAAGGTGTACATATAAATGCCAAGATACATGAAAATATTGAGTGTTTTATTATGAGGTACAGCACAGTACAAGCTTTTAGGTATGATTTTGTCACCGCTAAATCTGCATTACACATTTTGTAATCTACTTTTATTTCCAAAATCTGGTTAAACTGTCTGGGTTTTTCTCACAGTAGGAGCAGAAATAGGCACTCCTTGATTAATCACGCCTCCATCACTGTGTCAAGCTCTGCTGACCTGGCTCTGTCAATGGAATGTGGCTGTGTACTATTTACACTTTGGAGGTCACATTGAAGCAACACTTAGCAATGATAGGGAATTACGCAGTGCAGTATATATTTTATTTCAATATTGTTGCTGCTAGTGAGTTGTACTAAACAAGTATCCACTATGTATTTCATAACATTGTAATTTGTTTTGGCATTCTCAATTTTTGTTTCGGATATACTGTATATATAGGGATGCTGTAATCTAAAATTAGGTTTTGCATACATCAAGAGTACGTTTGTGGCTCCTCACGAGTTGTACTTGCTCAGAAATATATACTGTACAGTAATGTTATATACAGGTTGCACTTAAAAAAATCCAAACATCATTTATCCCCAAACTGTGAACATCCAAAAGTGATCGCATTGATTATAAAAATTTACCGCGCTGCCAGATGATGGCGTTTCAGCACACTAAGCTAAGATATCATCACCGGGGCATTTTCTCGTAGTCGGTCACTGAGTTACACCCTCCGACTCGCCGTCACCCGCACTTACGAACGGGATCCCAATACATTCACCTCAAAAAGTTGTAATTAAACTGTCATTATTTTCATCATTGTTTAACAGCACTTTATGTTATGTAACCTAAAGTATGGGTCCAGGAACTTATCCCTGTTGTAAGTTGCGGACGGCCTGTATTATTGTTAACATTATATTTTGAGTTCCTTAGTTTAGTGTGTTTGTTATACCTGTACATGCATTATTATATATTAGTTTATAGTTGTCATATATGTAGTATTTTATTTGGTGCTTAATGAAATATTAGGGTTTTTAATAATGACCTTGAGTTAGCCAACAAGTTCAGTTATCTGAAACATTTTGGATTTTTGAAGTGGAACCTATATTTCAACTCCCTCCTCCAAATATTAATGTACTATAGGAACAGAAATGGTTGATTTAAATTATTGCTCCAAACTGCACCACACCATAGTGCCATCTTTGGCATATACAGTAAATGAACTTTTGTAAACTGTACTGTACATATTTAATGTCACATGATGTGACAATGTTTATTTGGTCAAGTGATGTATAGTGCATGTCATTAGTGTAACGGTCGGTGCCAAATCATCGTTATTTGGCGCCATTCATTTTTAGATATACCTGTATCTCATTTATGAGACATTGTTTATCTAAGCCAAGAGTTGTTACGTCTTGCATATTTCATCTCCGTCGTCAGAAAATGTAACGGCGCGATGTTGAGCAATTTGTTGCCAGACTATGGATGATAGATAGGATCTGTACATATCATATTAAGTCTTCAACACAAGATATTTATTGTCAACTCTAAATTAAATATGTTGTGAATAAAACTTTTCAATTTGTGTTACCAAAGTGAGAATAAAAGATTGTCTCCGGCCAGCTTTTTTCTTTTATTATGTCCCGTAATATTCCCCCCGCCGAGAGCCTCCGTCGTTTGCTTTTAATGTATACGGAGACCGAAATCACAAATTGACGGTTTACGACGAGACGCGAACGTGCAACGTCACGAAAGAAATATTGGCCGAACATTTATGGTAAATAATTTATTTCTTCACTGCCACACGATCAGAGTTTCGTTGTTTTACCCCGTAATTTCCTTCATGTTTCGTGCCCTGCCCGCTATGGGTGATTTATGATCGTAGATAGAGAAAAAAAATCTTAAAATTAAAGAAAAAGTTGTATCATTTTTATTACGATCATCCAAACATTTGTGGATAAAATGAATGAAATAGAAAAACTGCTTCTGGTGTTAAACCACGGCTTTGAGACTGTCTCGGCGACCGACGCCGAGCCCACGTGTTTCCGAGGGGCCGTCTCCACCTTTCAGTGGTGTCCCCGAAGATACTACTACTACTACTAATGTTTGGAAAGGCAGTTGTCAACATACCATCTGGAAAGGCTTGTCACTGACTTGTCAGATTCAGAAGAGAAAATGTCTTTAAATTGCAAAAACTCCTCTAGAACAGATGCTTCCAGGTCACTGGAATAGGTACTGACAGCCAATGGTGTCATACTCCGTTAAGGTAAACCGCTTCTTTATTTCTATTCATTCGTAATATGGTGTAGAAATTGTCCACCTTGGATCAAGTTGAGTTTCAGTGCCAACTGATTCATCCAAGAAATGTTTTCTCTTTTTTGTTGTCGTTGTAGACAGGCTCGGCCTGATCTTCTATTTCATCCAACTGACCCCGTCTCATTTGTGAGACGAAGATGATCAAGCTCTCATACAGTTTCACAACTGACAGAAGGTGGGTGTGAACTTTTTGAAGTGATAAGCTGGTTGCATTAAACCTTGTTAAGATTTGATACTATTTTACAGCAAGAAGTGGTGTTTCAAATGCTTCCATTCGTCTTATGAGGCCTTGACCTTGAAGCTACTGTCGGAACATATTTTGTTCTCCAGTGCTGACTTTATCTCAAGGTAATGTAAAAACACTGCAGCCAGTTTGTGAAAGGGATTTCGCTACAATCCCTTCAGCCGGTAGTGCAGCTGATGATCCCAACTATATGTGGAGGTTGAGAAGTAGTTGTATAAGGTTTGCAAAAATCCGGAATTTGAAAGAGACCCAAGGCAACTGATGTTCCTACAAGGTTCAAGGAGTGACCTGCACAAGGGACGTAATATGCCAGCCTTTATTCTGGCAGTGTAAATGGCTGACATATTGGCAGCATTGTCATAACTCTGCCCTCAAGACGAACTTCTGTAATTAACTGTACAATAGTTGAGGCTATGCTCTGTGCACCATGGTCATGTATATGTCTATGAAGTTATAAAAATCGCTCAACTATGAATGTAAGTTGGTGAGTATGACTAACATCCGGTGTGGAATCTACACTAACTGACTAATATTTGTCTCGTTTCACTTCACTTATGATAATTGATTGACCATTTGCTGACAAATCGTTTTTGAGAGATATGAAGTGTTTGCACAGCACCAGATGCTGTGCAAGAAAAGTGTCCAATTTGGCCAGGAGTTGCAAGGTAATTGCCATTGTTGCTAGAGCCTATTCTTTCATCACTACCTCTGAGAGGAAGACCTCTCGATGTTAAAATTTGTAGTGTTTCAACTATGCGCAATAGACGTTCTTTGCATTATTTTCTCTCCAATTGTAGTTGCAAAGCCAAAGTGGAATGAATTCGCCTTGCTGTAATTGCCCTCACACCCCAACTGAAATTTGATGCTCTCTGCCACTTTCACGTTCGGCAACTGTACGCCGGCAGTTTTTCCAGTCGCTAAACGCAAAATACATCTCCAGTTTTTGGAGAATACACAAGCCATTCCCTTTGTCATCATGTAAACAAGGATTTGGGCACATACCGAACTCTTTCCTTTTCACTTGTTGAGAAGTGACCTTGTTCACAATTTAGATCAAGAGAATGATTTAGTAAATAGTCAATGGGTTTATCATCAACTGTCAGCCGGATCACTCGACACCGGTTCCATAGAATGTTTCTTATAATTCAACTGAGATGAATCGGACGAAGCTTCAGTCACAGGTTGGAGAAAGGAAACTCTTAATGGTGGTTTTCTTCTATAAAATATATTATATACAAAACAGTCTGGTGGTGGGAAGTTGGTGCTTGGAAGAGGAGACGAGACGCGGCGTGTTCAGGAACGTAGGGTAGAATGAATTTCAACGGCGAGACCGAGAGGTCATACACTCGGCTACCGGAAGTAAACCCGGATGCCAGCGTCGCAGGTGGCGACCCCCCACCCCCGTGAGAAAGTCGCCGAATCCCGTCTCATTGGAATGCGGCTAGGCTCGTCAGTTTGTAGGAGAGTATCCACTACGGTACTTGCATTGCTGTAGGTGGCGATTTACTTAATCTCAGCTGACCTCGTTTCGTCATCCGAATCACTAAAGTGAACCTCTACTGTGTCATCCTCTGGGAGTTTACTGTCACTGGGCTCTGAATCTCCTTTTGGTTTAAAAAAATGTCAGCTTTGGCTACTTTTAAGTTCCTCTTTCGTGAGCAGGGCCTCTCTACATATCAGGGCTGGTCGACTTGAAACCACACGAATGACTCCAGTCATGTCTCACTTTTGTGTGTGTTGGGAATTTGTACACTATCAATAAATATACAGTTAATGAAAAATGTCTCAATGTTTTAATTTCCTCAATATAACTGCATATGGCTTCCAAATTCTGCAAAGAAGTGTTCAAATTTCAATATTTTCCCGGGGGGGGGCTTACAGCTCCCCCGGAACTCCCAGATGTTTAGGCTCGTTTCACTCGCCACCCCACAAAGAGGCTGGCTGCCCATGGGTAGTGTGTGCAGGTCAGAGTTGGCGGTACAGTGTGTGAGAAAAGTGTTTCAATACGGTTGGTAAATTCGATTTGACGTTCGGGCATCAAAATGATCTAATTTCAGTAGTACTTGGAAACATCTGGCTATCCCCAAGGACAAGCCACTCGTGTAGTTTTACTAACAACAAAGACAGTTGAAGCTTTCACCATCACTTAATGGATGTTCCAACTATAATCAGATATCTAAGTTGCCTTAACATATACCACCACTGTTGCAATTTCCAATTCTGTGTCGTTATATTAAAGGCCCGTCCACTCGATCGAGCAGTGCCCGTCGTTGAGCGAAATCATGGTCAGCCTGCCTGGTGGTATATAAGTATTACAAATGTTATACGTACGTGTTCCCCGCTCAGTGTATAACCAAATAAGCTTATGCAATGTACAATATTGGCGTGAGAGGAGATTGTTTATGTAATGAGGACATTCGTGTGTGTTCTTCGTTCTCGTCCCATAGCTTCCT